GAAAATTGATTAGAGCAGATTTACCATTTAATAAAGGATTATTTGTTATATTACAACACTGTGATGTTACCTTGAACTGGGGTGTGGGAAGAGGTGGGCAGATTTACCCAACGTAAATGTGAAATTCATTATGTTGTAAACTTGTAAGGGGTTGAATTATTATCAGCTCTTAAAAGTATTAATTTTGGGCTTTACAACAGGAGATTGTGGTTTTTCCTCCTTATCTGTGTTGTGTCCATCTGTTGAGCGTGGGAGGAATTTAGCTTGAGTCATTTTTAATTTAGAAACCATGCTTTCAAAAATAAATCTGAATGCACACTTGGCAGCGCTGATTACAGTGCTAGGCAAACAACAAACAAGCTTACCCACTTCCCAACATTCTCGGTTTGCACGTAAAATGCTGGATGGCACCACTTTGAAAACTGACTTTTGATTTGAAATTCTTGTCCTATTCAGAACTACTTAGAGACTGCCATGTGTGTTTATGTGTGTTTTAATGGAAAGAGCCATTCTTTTGCCTATTGGTGACTCAGATGCTAATGATTTTTTCAGAAGCCACATGTTTACAAATATTTCTTTGACCTTAACCAGATACTCTTAGTGGTTTTCTTATTTTGAGGACTGCCTTCTTGGTGATGTTAAGTCATAGGACTGGAGAACAAGTACATAGTGAATACATAGTGAGTGTCAACTGAGGTGCCAGGAGGGTTCCCTTGTAAGATAATAGGTTCTACTTAGGTGTCAAGTAATCAACATGCTTTTTAAGGCACTGGGGATACAAAAACAAAGGTGGAACAACCCTTTCACTCAAGGAACTTACATTCTATTGAAGGCAGGCAGCATGTACATTTATAATTATGTACAAAATAAATGTAAAGTTATTTCAGTTAGGGACTCTAGTACCTGAGGGGATCAGTAGAATTCTGCCTCATGTGAGAAGTGGTACCCTAAGCCAAGCTTTGAAGGAAACTAAAGATTCCAAGAGATGGTGGCAAAAGAATAAATGCTTTTTAGTCATGGACTGCTGTGTGCAAAGCTATGACAGACTTCTAAAGGTATGTGTGGGGAACAGCAAGGAAGCTAGTTCATCTGAGTTGTAGAGTACTGAAAAATAATGCTACATAAAAATCCTTGAAGGCTTAAAATGTCAAGCAAAGGCATTTGTATCTGATCCTAAAGATAATGGGGAGCCATAGGAGATTATTGGGGAAAGGAGTAATATGATCAGATCTGTGTCTTAAGAGTCTCACTCTGGCAGCTGTATGGAGGATGGGTTGGAGAGGAGAGAAGCTGAAAGCAGGGAAAACAATTAGAAGGGCATTGTGATAGTTTAGGCTAAAGGTGATGAAGCCCATAGCTACAGCAGTGGTTGTATGAGTGTATGAGTGGGCAAGATGAAGAAGATGTTGTAGAGGTAGAAGTGACAAAGCCTGGTGAACTATTAACTATGTGCAATAAAAGAGAGTGAGGAGGTCGTGAACCTGAGCCAGTGGAAGAGCAGGCCCCTCCAGAGGAATCAAAGATTTTGGAAGGATTTCAGTAGGAATACAACATTTGAGACATTTGGGACATTTGAGTGGGAGATGGCTGTGGGATGTCCAATTTGACATGCTACTAAGTAATTGATGATGACGAGTACAGGAGGTGACAAGAAAGATTAGAACTACATGGGAGCCATGTGCATTGAGGTATAATTGAACCAATGGGGATCAAGATAATGTAGAGCAGTAATGTCAAACTCAAATGGAAACAGGGGCCACTGAACCATACATAAAGATCCCCGTGGCCCACATATTGACTTAGAAACCCACACATTAACATTATCTATGTTCTGCTGTACTTTTGCTTATTGGGTCATATATCTCCTAATTATACTTTAATCTGATTTGGGCCAACACTAGCTATTATGTGGCCAGTGGGCTGCATCTTTGTTTATCCCTACTATTAGAGAATATGACATGAATGGTGACCCAGCAAAGACTGAGGACTGTTCAGAGAATAATGTCAGAGATTATCAAGGAAGAAGAGACAGTCAATGGTGACAAAAGCTGCTCTGAACTCAAGACTGATAAGGACTAAGAAGAGGCCTGAGGACATGAAAGGGGACAGACTTACTGGCACATGTAGAGCAGCTGGCCTTGATTGGTGGCTTGCTTGGTGTCCTTTGTTCTCAAAGAGGACCAAAATGACATCATTTGTTGGGATTAAGATACGGTGTGTCTGACTGTGGCTGATCAGACCAATATGAGCTCACAAGGCTCTACCACAGGTTGGGTACAAATATTTGGAGCTGAGATGTCTCTAAATTTGTGTGTCTCACATTTCTTTAGGGCTACTGCAATTTTGCTTTGCTCATAGAACACATCACTTTGTTGCAAGCATGCCATGCTGAGCGGTCCTGGTAGAGAGACTGGCTTTGGAGAGCAGAAGGACCACATCATTATCAAAGACCAGTGGAAAGGAGGAGAGGGAGGGGGAGATGATGTGTTGTTTTGAGATGGAAAGTAGTAGCAAGGAGGGAGCTCATATCAAATGACCTCAGTGAACCACGAGCTTCCCTGCTGAACAGAGAGGATGGTATGGAAGACTTGAGAAGAGGTTCAGAACAGTTGCAGCTTGAATTTCTTACCTTGGTAGCAATGTTCACAATGCAAGTGCATCACTATCAAAACATTGTATCCTTTAAAAAAGAAAGAAGGAAAAGAAGGATCTTTTGGAAGCAATTCTACCCAATTAGAGTTCACACTGGTGACATCAATGTACTGTGAGCTCATTTACTGTCTTTTGGGAGATAGAGTCTGGTGAAGTTTGAACATTAATTGAGGCTCTCTCTTTGCCCTGAGTATTGTAGTTCATGGAATGACACATCTCTGTATTAGGAACACAATGATTTTTCAAGGTCTAAAATGATTACTAATATGAAATTTCATGGGAAGCAGCATAGCATAGTGGAGAAAGTAGAGGCTTCTAACCTCCTCCTTCCGCTGAAACTGCCCCCTAAAATCTCCTCCTCTTAACTCCTCTGTTAGTGTCAAGGGCAACACCATCCTTCTGGTTCCTCAGGCTTACAGCCCGGTTGTCAACCCTCAACTCCTCCCTATCTCTTATCCTCTATATCCAATCTTGGCCAACTGGTCGATTTCAACTATGCAACATCTCTCAAATACTTCTCTTCTCTGATACTGCCATCACTCTGGTGCAGGCCCTTATTGCCTCCGACCTGCACTATTGCAATAGATGCTGGCGCATGTGCCTGCTTCAAGTCTCACCCTACTCCAATCCTTCCTCTCTTCAGCCACCAAAGTGATTTTCCTAAGGCTCAGGTACAACCATGTCACCCCTTCCTCCCTCACTCAATAAACTCCAGTGGCTCCCTATTGCATCTAGGATAAAATACAAAACTCTCATTCAAAGCTCCATTATAACCAAACCATTCACCCCCCATACACAACCTTTCTAGTCTTCTTAACCTTACTCCCCCGCCATATACTTTTTGATCCAGTGACACTGGCCTTCTGGGTGTTTCACAAACAAGACACTCTATCTCTTCACTCTGGACATTCTCTCTGACTGTCCCCCATTCCTGGAATGTTGTCCCTCCTAACAGTTTCCCTGACTTTAAGTCCTAACTAAAATATCATCTTCTACAAGGTGCTTTTCCCAACCTCTCTTCATTTTAATGTCTCCCCTCCTCTGATATTTATTATGTAGCTTGCTTTGTATATACTTTTTTGCTTGTTGTCTCCCCATTAGATTGTGAGCTTCTTGAGGGCAGAGACCATCTTTTGCCTCTTTTTGTATCACCAGCACTTAGCACAGTGCCTGGCACTGAGTAGGTGCTTAATAAATATTTATTATTATCATTAACTGAATTATAAATCAGGTGACTTTGCTTCTAGTCCTAGTTCTACTATATGTGATCTTGAGAAAGTCATTTAGCCTCTTTTTAAAAATGGGAAGGATGAATTATAGAATCTATAAGATACTTACTGCTGTAAAATCCTACCGTTATTTTTTCCTCTATTGAGAAATGAAAAGGAAAACCAGAAAGATCTGATTTAGTATGAAAGTCTTTCTTAGATATATTATAGTAGTGTTATTTTCGATAACTTTATGGGCAATTATCATTGTGTATAGTGTATATTTTTGGTGTTGTTTTTTCTGTATTTTAAAAATTCTTACTAGAAATTGAGGAAGATGCCTTCTCATAAAGCAAATAGCTTTAAAATGTTCATTCCATACAGAAGTCATTGAAAAAATGAGTGAATGAATGAATTTTTAAATTCATCTAAATCTGCATACGTGCTAAATGTACAATTAGATGTTGAATTAAAATGTTATTTTGATAAACAGAAAAAAAAATCCTTCAATATGGGTTTAGGCCACAATGTTGATGAATTTAAATATAATAATTTGGCTTTAATTTGTCGTATTTAACCCTCAAGAACATTTTGTATGTATTGTCATCACTTCTAGAATATAGGACCTTTACATTACTTGTATATTAATTATAGACTTAACAATCTCTTTTTCAACATGATTTTGTAATAAATGGTTAGAGAATAAAAATTTTACATTTATTAGTGGACTGATACTTGTAGTGGATGAAACTTAAATATTGCAGAAAATAACTGGTTCTGACATTTCTGACATTCAATTAAGAATTAAATTGTATACTGGTAAATAGATGATCTTAAGCTGTTTAAGGTTTCATCAGCTGTCTGGAAGATTGATTTTCTTCAAAATTACAGTACTAAAATGTTTTCTTTTGTTGTACAGACTCAAATAGCAAACCACAATTTTGAAATCGGCTCTTATTTGCAAAAAATGCTTTGACATAGTGCATTTGTTCTGCCTGGGCAGCAATAAAGGATTGTGGTATCTTTTGGAAGACGGTTGTTTGACAGAGCCTGTTTGTTTATTTGGGGTAATGTGAGCTGCATTCAGAAAATGCCATATTTTGTTTCACGATTGTGTACATTCTCTCCCATTGCTTCCAGGCAAGACTTGTAAGGAGAGAAGACATGGATGTAGACCTTGTTTCCATGAACAGTGGGAGTGCTTTGGCTCAGAACAGAGAAAAAAATAATCAGGCATCCAGACACTCAGCAGAATCTTCATGTAAGTTGTGGTTTCATTCCATGTACATTTAGAGATCGCAAATGAATTGATGGAACCTAATGTCAAAGTGAATTCTTTTACAGTTAGGGGGTAGAACGCCATCAGCCAGAATTGCCTAAAACATGTACTTAATGCATATTTCCCCTTAAATATCTTCTTTTGACATGAGAAAAATTAAATTATTGAAAAGATTAACAGCATGAGCTCTTATTTTAATTGCAACCTGTGATCCAATGGATTTTTCCCCGTGGGTCAGATTCAGTCCTTTGATCATTCATTTCTAAAATGTTTATTTTTAGCTAATTATGAAAAGTAGGCCTCATGTATCAAAGCAATGTCTTTTAGTCTTTTGATATTAATTTACTAGCTATTATATATTAAGCTAATTCCTAAAGAAAAGATTTCTAAAAAAAATAGTAACAGTCTCTGATGACAGTACACTATTGTCAACAAACTATATATTTTGAAATGTTTCCCTCTGAATTGTTGATGGTTATTTGATTGCGTTTAGGCCATGTTGATTCTTTGATATTTGTAAACTTGTCATACAGATATACTATGTTTTAATTTGGGGAGAAAACATGTTTTGCTTATTTTAGTAAGAATTATACTATGGTTATTACTGCTAAGTATTTTATAAACATTATATATTTAATCCTTATAACATTGCAGGGTGAGAGTTTCACTTTTACAAATTCCATTTTCCCTTTTATCCTACACATCTGGGCAAAACTTCTAAAATTTTATATATTAATGTACATTTTATTTATGCTGTTGTTCTATAGAATTTGAGTTTTTTAATTTTTAAGTTCATTATTCCTAACCTTCAAAGCATCACATGGTTTAGTTTGAACTTTAGTGATATTATTCATTGATGTTGTTAACATGTTTATTCATTTTTATATTGTTAATGTGCTAATAGTCTATTGTGATTGCTAAAAGACAGCTTGACATAATGGTTAAGAGGGTTGCCCTTAGAGACAGGAATAGAAGAGTACAAATTCAACCTCTGATATGGGACTTGTGTGATTTGCCTAACCTTCTCGATAGATAGATAGATAGATAGATAGATAGATAGATAGATAGATAGATAGATAGATGGAATATGTGTGTTTATGTATATATGCATATATATCTATATAGATATTAGCATATCTATATATAGTGTATGTGTAATGTCTATAGATATACGTATATACATATATGGAAAACAAGAGTATACAAATTAGTGTATATGTAGTATATGCTACATATACTATAGTACACAGTACTATACAAAACAAGAGTACACAGATTAATATATGTACATATATATACATATATATGTATATGCATTTGTGTATATGTATATGTATGCATGTGTATACATACACGAACACTATTAGGTCAGTCCTAAATAAAATTTAAATACACACTCACGCAGTAATGTGTGTACATTTTTTCCCCTTGGTGGAATGTAGGTTCTTAAAAAGCAAAAACTATTTTCACTTTTGTCTTTGTATCTTGGGAATCTAGCACAATGGCTAGCAAAAAGATAGTAGCTTTAAAAATCCTTATTGAATCAGATTGAAGTCTATTGAAATTAGACCCCCAGACAAGCCATTTAGTTTCTCAATATCTCAGTCAACTTCTTAAAACTATAATTTACAGAGTAATTGCTGATCACCGTCAGTGAAGGGAGTAAACCATATTTGTGAAATTACGGGTCCCAATAAAATGTATTAAAAAAATCATAGTGCATATAAACACAGTGGTGTATGTCTGAATGGAAAAAGTGAAAAAATCCAGTCAGTTTTCCAGATGTTCACTTTCCAAATAATCAGTAGCTCATAATTTTTCACTTTTCATCCAAATATTTGGCATTGTGTAGCTACAACAATGGTTAAAGGACATTTGTTTATCCAAGAACAGTAGAAATGGTTTGAATCTCAATCCTTGTTGAGATTCTCTGCTATTTGTCAGCCCAGTGACCTAGGGCTAAATCACCTAACCTCTCTCAACTTCATTTTATTCATCTACAAAATTAGGGAAAAGGACGCATACATACGAATCTGTGTACTGTTGTTTTCCCTAAATGTAACATAAGCTCTTGAAAGACAAAAGCTATTTTCATTTTTGTCTTTGTACCCTGGGGATCTAGCACAGTGGGTAGAACTCCCTTGAATGGAATGGAATTCCAAGGATATAGACAAGAGTCTATTCTCTGCCCCCTTTCACTTTGCCATCAGTGGTCCTCTTTTTGTACATCCTTCTTCACACAAAAATGACTCATAACATCAGAAGTAATTAATCACATTTTTATCTATAATAAACCAGATTTAGTGCTAATTATAACAGAAAATTTAAATTAACTTTAAGGAATAGAAAGACTTTGGATTTAACATTTGCCCTCTCAAATACTAAGAAGGTGAATTGGGCACTTTACCGTCTGGTACCTCTTCTCCTGAACCGTAGATCAGAAACCCTCTCCTAACTTCTTTAGACTGGCCCATGTAGCTGCTGAAGATGGCAGTGAATGCAGCCCCTGGAGCTCCAATAGCAGCCCCACCCCATTCACATTGCCTCAGTATTCAATCACCCAATCTCTAGTTTTCCAAATCCTCTTAACTTATTTCCCAACCTGAAGGTACACCCAAATGCCTAGCCAAAGCTGCACAGAGGAATTCTGCTGGGCTTTCCGTGCTTATGCATATCCAGTTGTCTTTTAGTCATTTTCAGTTGTGTCTGAATCTTTTGTGACCCAACTGGGCGTTTTCTTGGCAAAGATACTAGAGTGATGTGCCATTTCCTTCTCCAGCCCTTTTATGGATGAGAAAACTGGAGCAAACAGGTTTAAGTGATTTGCCCAGGGTCACACAGTATGTAAGATTCTGAGGGAAGATTTGGACTCAGGAAGAGGAGTCTTCCTGACTCTAGACCTGGCATTCTATCCACTGCATCACCTAGCTGCCTTGATGCAGCACAAGGATAAAAACAGAGCACTGTCCCTTCTAGATACATGATCCATCTTCTGTCCATAGAGCATAACAAATCAAAGGATTCCCTTCTGGTCAGCAGAACATCAATCCTCCATTGTGTATTTCTCCTTGTCTGTGTTTTCCAAAGGTTAACCTACTGTGTTCAAGGCCCAATGGCAGATATTGGGGATACAAAGGTAAAGTAGTGAAAATCATTCACTGATCTCAAGGATCTACTGAGGGCAGGTAACATGAATCAAATCTAGATAGGTAAGCTGGAGCCAGCTTGCGAAAAATCATAGATTTATATGTTTAAATCTTGAAGAGATCCTAACTTAAAGGTTCACTTAGTTCAACTGCTAATTTTTTCCGATGAGGAAACTGAGACTCAGAGATATTGGATGACTTTGTCCCCAGATCCTCTGGCTTTCCCTCCTTCTTGTGCATCCTAATCTCGACTGGCATAGCTGGTGGAGCTCCAAGTCTTTTGTGGCTGTTGTATTTTCATGCATTGGTTCAAGGGGCTAACCCCATGTCAGTGACTTATCCTGACTTTTAGGAAAATGCTTCAGTATATAGTGATAATGACAACATCAGCAGTAATAGTTCTATTTTTCATAACACCATAAAGGTTACAAAGCCTGAGGGTGAAAGGAAGGGATTGTGCTAAATGATAGAAGGTAGAATTTGAAAGAATGTTGGATGTAAGAAAATGTCTGGGGTTTATTATTCACTAGCTCTGTGACTTTGGGAAAATCACTAACTTCTGTGGGCTTCTTATTCTCTTCAATTCTAAAATGAAGGGGTTGGACCAAGTCCCCTCTAAAATTCCTTTGTGGCCTAGCCTTTCCTCACCATGATACTGTGATACAATAGATAAAATCATGCTTTCTCACTTCACAGACACAGCAACTGAGACTCAGAGTCATTAAGTACTTGCCCATGGCCACACAGGTAATAAGTGTACTGCCTGGGATTTGAACCTAGACCTCCTTACACTAGCACTTTCCCTTATATATCATACTGCCTCTCATAAAAAAGCCATGATTTTGTTTGGAAAGATGGCCACTTCACCAAGGCATATGGCAGCCTTGCCTTAACACCTGATTTCTCACATTGCTGCCGTGTCTAAGAAGTTCATCACCTGGTACCTGATCAGCCCTCAGTGAGCCTTTCCAAACTCAGCTGCACAGAGCCATGGAGGAATGTCCATTGTCAGGCCTTTACTAATCCTTTCATCCTGATAGGGCCTCACTGAAGTGGTGGTTCAGTGGCATAGCTTTTGAGAACGAGGATGACTTCTATGCTACAATAAAATGCTCCTATAGGAGCAAATAAAACCCTTACACAATACAATTTGAAGTAAAAGGTGAAAATAAGGAGAAGGCACTCAGTGTTAGAAAGTTAGATATTACATCTAAATATATCACATACAATTTGCTCAGCTTATCGTAGTTCCCCGGCCTTTAATCACTAAGCTAAATCTGTATATTGTTGTTCTATAAAATTCCTTGAACTTACAAAGATTCTGAATTTTTGGCTTTCTGTGCCTCTGGGGCAGCTGTCTAATTCAGAACTAAGTCAGGGGACAACAGGGGTTTTGCCCCAAGGCAAAAAATTTATTCCTGGATAGAAAATTTAAAGCACATAGATAACACTTGTAATCCACTAAGAAGTCAAGACTTAATTTGGTGAGAAGATGGGGAGAGTAGAGGGGGAAGATTGAGTGGAACAACCCCCTGAAAGGTGAGCTTACAGCTAAGGGGAACAGGAAGAGAGAATGGAGACCAACTAGCAGGATCCAGTCTCCATACTGCGTAGGGAAAGGGAATGAATTTGAACCCTGGTGCCTTGGACTTCCAAGAAGAGGGGAGGGGTTGAGGACAGGTGAAGGTAGTAGCCCACTTCCCACCTCCACCATCCAATGAAGACTAGAGAAGACAATCCCTTTTCCCCTCAGAAGAGACTGTTGGACTGTTCTCTCAGGGGATGGATTTGGGGCTGGAGTGTGTCCGGAAAAGGCTAAGGTTCTTCTCTTGATTT